AATGTAGATACTTGCTGAAGAATGAAGATCAACTAACATGTACAAGATGCCAAGCTGCATATTTTAACTGAATGGACTCGGCCCCGAATAAGACATAAATACTTAAAAGAAACGGACATGAGAAAACTATTTGAAAATAAGTAAACCGCCAGCATAATGTTGTCAAATAGGAAGACAATGAGCAACTACCGCCAGCGAGGTTCGATCGTGACACTGGACTTATGAATATATGTTCTACTCCAGGTGTATAAATAGCGATGTCAGGTTACTGACTGCAGTGATTATTGAGCGGAACGATCCAGTCGAATTAGTGTGAATTATTTTCCGTCAGTAATTTAGGATTTGCCGGACATTAAGCCGAGCCACGCTGCTAAAAAGGTATTCACTGAAATCGTTAATTAGCTTTGGATGATTTTTACTTTCTTGGACTTGTTAATTATTTGCGATTGGATTTAAATACTGTTTATTTTAACATTGAAGTCTTAAGTTATACTTAATTATTAATGACTACCATACGTCACAAACTCTGCCTTAAAGAAATAGGTTTACATTAAATCGTACAACATTTATATACAAAATATCTGTAGCTGAAGCCATAAAATTACATACAAAATAATTAGATTTCGGCATCAAATAACCCATAGAGGTATTGATATGCCGTTAAATAAAATCAACGCACAAAACTATTAAATCTCAAACCATTAAAGTTTAAATCTGGTGTGACAATATAAACCAACTTTCCTAGCGACAGACGTAGCAATGATATTTACTTTACCTTCCCTCGAAGTAGGATGTGGTACAAGGCCGTTTTTAATGTGGAGTAAAATCGTGCCCGTAGACTCGGGCAAAAATTCTCCATAGACCCCGTATACACAGGGTCGGGTAGCTGTCTACCACCGCAGACAAGACTCTACCCGTCGGCATAGCCTCGTCTGGGTTCCTCTCTGCACGAAGTCAGAGTTCGACCAGCACAGAATCTTCAACTAATTGCCGAAGCAGACCCAGCAATTTATTCAATATAAATTTTCCATTTCATGTCAGCGGGAAAAAAACGGTAACCCGAAAAGGTGCAATTACTCACTCTACTTGCAATAGTAAATTATTAGTATCTTAAGCCTTTGAGATTAAGAGACGTTAAATATGCATCCCAAAATCTTTGAGCTTTTCCCACCTTTCATACGTTTGTTTGCAAATGGAATCGTTGTGTTGTCGTATTGCAGTTTGTCTGTGGATAAACATGAGTCGAAGAAGTTTGCCTTATCGCCTTACTTGGGGCGAATTGATTAAAAATATATTAATAAAAATAGACATATAGTCTGAAGCAAAAGTACTCGGAGTCATATATTAGGTTGGTGCAAAAATAATGACGTAATAATGTCGTTTTTTGACGTATTTTTTAAGGTCAAAACGACATTATTACGTCATTATTTTTGCACCAACCATTTACAATATAATCAATTATCCTGACACCTTGAGAGGAATGTTAAAAAATATATTCGGATAATTTTCGAAAATGAATGAGGGAAAAAATAATTTTATGAAATAAATTTAACATTTATTTAAATTAACATTTATATCATCAAATAACATTACTCAAACACTCTTTACATGGTTTTTGTTATTAGGTTGGTGCAAAAATAATGACGTAATAATGTCGTTTTTGACGTTAAAAAATACGTCAAAAAACGACATTATTACGTCATTATTTTTGCACCAACCTAATAGTTAATGAAAAAAATGCGTTAATTTCTCGATGGCCAAGTGTTATTTTTTATTTATTTTTTTTTTTTTTTTTTTGGTGGGGTGGCTGTTTTTTGTTTTTTTTTCTTCTGTCGTTGACTCCCAAAGCTGGATTAAAGCCGATGTTTTTGCAAGGGTAGCTTCTGGTTGAAAACGCAACCAAACTTAAACATTTGTCAAGTATAAACATTGCCTCCTTAATTGAAATTGCGCACTGGGCGAGTTGAACTTCAATAATACGATTATCAACCGTCTCCTCCCTAACCTTTTCCGGTGCAGTTCAACAATACCCTGATCCCTGCAGGGTGATCTGCATTGAACCAGTCATTTAATTCTGCTTCATTTACATCGAGGTTTAATGCTGCAAAACTGCTAAAACGTATGGCTTTCTGAATTCTCAGAACGCTTGTCTGCGATGAATTATAAAGACTGGGTTGAATGTACGGATGATTTCAGTTTTTTCCTCTTCATTTCATGTGCGGTTAATCGAAATTCGGAAACTTGAGATACGGATAATCGAAGATGTGCTCTACCTCACCTTACAATCCCAGGATTTCTCAATTACTCCACTAATTTGAATGAAAAAAAACAAACCCTTCCTCAGAGTACGAGAGTTGTGATTGGAGCTAATTATTAAAACCGTACAAGAGCTACCAGACAGGTAGCGCGCACGCGCGCACATACACACACATATACATACATATATACACACACACACACACACACACACACACACACACACATATATATATATATATATATATATATATATATATATATATATATATATATATATAAAGAGAGAAACCGCAGACGTATTTGCATATAATGTGGATTAATATATATATATATATATATATTTTATTTTCCATATTTTTTTTACACTTGTTTCCTGTAAACACGACCTTCTTCAGGCAAAGAGTGGATATTTCCACATATTATTAAAAGGTAATTAATTTTTCTTATGTTTTTCGATTAATACTGCACAAAAAACGACAATGGTTAGACATAGAAAAACATAAGGAAAATTAATTTCTTTTAATAATATTTGGAAATGTCCACTGTTTGCCTGAAGAACAAATTTAGCAGAAAAAATAAAACCTATTGTAAAAAAAAAAATATGGAAAATAAAAATATAATATATATATATATAAATCCACATTATAACTAAAAATGTTTGCAGTTTCTCTCTTCTTTTAAAAAATACACTTTTCCCTCGTTGGAATAGCTATAACCTCTTCCATATATATATATATATATATATATATATATATATATATATATATATATATATATATAAAATATAAATATAAAATGCAATTATTAGTTTATGTTTATACATTTTTTTTATACATACAAATATTTAATAAATGCTTGTTTATAAGACATTTTATGTTTGGAGAATACATTATTCTTTTTCGTACATACAAATAGAGTCATCCTCGTATTCGATCCAAACAATATATCAATGGTATATATATATATGTTCGATCATCTTTCATGCGTGCACACCAACATTTCCAAAAGCAAAAAGATCAAAGGTCATTAAATATTATTCTTCCTATATAGTTATTTTATTAGGTTTTAGGTCATTCTATATATATATATATATATATATATATATATATATATAGATAGATATATAGATAGATAGATAGATAGATAGATAGATAGACCTAGTGAGCCAGATATACATATATATATATATATATATATAGATACACCTAGTGAAAGCCAAGATTGATTTTATTAGGTCTGCTCTACGGTTGTATTGAGCTCTTTTGTTAGTTAGTTGTTTACTCGTAAAACCTGCATCTTCGATTTTTTTTTTCGACAGAAGTTCATGTTTTAGCTCTTTTTTTTTTTAAAATCAAGATTGATTTATTCTATCTATCTATATATCTATCTATCTATATATATATATATATATCTATCTATATATATATATATATATATATATATATATTAAGACAGGTTTCGTTAAATAATTTAGCCATGTTCTGTTTACTTATTCTCGATAGAATCCTTTCATATTCGCGAATAAGCTTTTTTGTGCGATTATTAAAAGACGAGAGAAAAACACATTGTTGGCTCATATTGTATTTATTTCCGAGTACTTTCGACATAGCATAATGTCATCATCAGTTAATTATAAACTAAGTATTTAGTGTTCATGGTTGTGAAGGACAAAAATTCTTATGGTCATCGGAAAATAACCATTTTTATATGTGTAGTCAGGAACGCTGTGTCGTGGCTTGGGTGACGGACACTGTTTAAGGGGAGGTAACTAAGTATGCTGTGGATAAATTCCGGCCTTGATAAAGGAAAAACTATTAACGACAAGCGCTAACATTGAAAGACTAGGGATTGTACATATTTTAAAATGTTTGTAGAGTATTCGTAATTAATTTTATGGAAATTTGGTTTCAATGTTTTTACATAAGTAACTTCGAGAACTTTTAGTTTGTGTATAATTATAAAATTTAAATTAAACCAGGAAATAGTTGTACTAAAATGTGCTCAATACCCATATGAATAAAATAAAAATTTAATTACAAAAAATTAGGCTATCAGCCAATCACGCTACTTTGGTTTCAACCGAACTAACTGCCAGTTAGGTAGCTTTCTTTTTGGAATCAGGGTTCTAAAATTACTATGTTCCGACATTTGCCATAACACAGATTTAAGATTGCATCATATAAGCGATTATCTGTGATAATAAAACCTTGTAAAGAAAATAAAATCAGGGTGAGACCGTTTCCAGCCTTTCAGTATGATTTGAGAACAAAATAATATACTTCAAAATATAAAGTTAAATATTTTAGAAGTGCCACCACCAGCATCAATATTGCCATGGAAAAAATTAAGATAATCGTCGATTTTAATCCGTTGTTTAAAGTGCTCTCTGGATAAACAAGAGTACATTCAAGGTTATGTAGAATCCCTTTAAATTTATTAATCAAAATTCTTTCTTTTATTTTAATATTTTTCTGGTTTTTTTTTTTTTCTACTTTTTATTTTTTTAATCCAGCCAGCATTTGGATACGGTTTAATATACTAAAAGGAAACCTTGATTAAGTTGTATTCTGTTTCGATTACATACTTTTTGATTAAAGTCCTTGGGAAACTGCCAGTTAAGGTCCAACTCTTTACGATCATATATTTCTTTTCTTTTTCTTCGAAAGCTTCAATGTGATTCATAACAAGAAATTCAATTGTTTAGGGTTACTTATTGCGTTCATTTTGCTTCCTCGACCAAAATGTCTCTCTCAGACATTTTTTTTTCTTTTTCCTCACGTTCTTTCACACACGTTCTCCTCTTCCTTACACTCGCGTCTCTCATTCTTTCACTCTCCTTCTACCGTTCTCTCTTCCTTTTTCTTTCATTCTCTATAGCCTTTTCTCTCTCTTTCTTTTTCTCTAACACACACACACCTTTTAATCTTCCTCACACAATCCTCTCTTTTTTTCATTTCCTGTCTTCTTTTCTCTCTTTTTTTTTTCTTTTTCTTTCATATTCTCTTGTCTCTTACACTTTTTCTTTTTCTTCTTCACCCGTGCCTCTCTTTCTTTCTCTTTCCGTTTACCTTTCTTTGTCTGGAAATTTTTTTGCAGATTTTTTCTTCTTCACCCTATCCTCTCTCTCTGTCATATTTTTTTCTTTCCTTTGTCTTCCTTACCTTTTTTTTCTTCTCTTTTTCTCCTTTTTTCTCTCTCTCATTTCTTTCTCTCTCTCTCTCTATATTCTCTCTCTGTATCTCTCTTTTATCTTCTCTCTCTTACCTCCCTTTTCCTCTTCCTCTTTCCTCTCTTTTCTGTCTGTTTCTCTGTCTCTCTTTTTTCATCTCTGTATTTTTTTTCTCTCTCTTTATCTCTCTCTCTCTCTTCTCTTATCCTCTCTGTCTTTATTTGTCTCTCTTTTTTTTTCTCTCTTCTTTCTCTCTCTCTTTTTCTCTCTCTCTTATTCTCTCTCTCTCTCTCTCTCATTCTTCATCTCTTTTTTTTCTCTCTCTCTCCTCTCTCTCCCTCTCCTCCTCTTTTCCTCTCTTCCTTATCGTGCCTCTCTCTCTGTCTTCATTTCTTTGTCTCTTCTTTTTTCCTTTTTTTATATTCTCTTTGTATTCTCCTCTCTCTCTTTCTCTCTCTTTATCTCTTTCTCTCTCTCTCTCTCTCTCTCTCTCCTGTACTCCTTTTTTTCCTCTTCCTTTTCCTTACGTGCCTCTCTTTCTGTCTTCATTTCTTTTGTCTCTTCCTCCTTTTTTTTCACTCTCTCTCTATTCTCCTCTCTCTCTATCTTTTCTTTATCTCTCTCTCTCTCTCTCTCTCATCTCTCTCCTCTTTTTAAAGAAACTCTGAAACACGTGCCTCTCTTTTCTGTCTTCATTTCTTTGTCTTCCTTTTTTTTTTTCTCTCTCTGTATTCTCTCTCTCTCTATCTTTTTCTCTTAGACACGTATCTCTCTCTCTCTCTCTCTCACTCTCTGTATTCTCTTGCTCTCCCTTTTCCTCTTCCTTTACATTGCCTCTCTTTCTGTCTTCATTTCTTTGTCTCTCCTTTTTTTTTTTTTTCCTCTCTGTATTCTCTCTCTCTCTATCTCTCTCTTTTATCTCTCTCTCTCTCTCTCTTTCACTCACTTGACTCCTTTTTTCCTCTTCTTGAGTCTTCACGTGCCTCTCTTTCTGTCTTCATTTCTCTTTGTCTCTTCCTTTTTTTCTGTCTCTCTGTCTATCTGTCTCTCCTCTCTCTCTCTCTATATCTCTCTCTCTCTCTCTCTCTCTCTCTTTTTCCTCTCTTTCTGTCTTCATTTCTTTGTCTCTTCCTTTTTTCCTCTCTTTATTCTCTCTCTCTGATCTTTTTCTCTCTTCCAAATTACTTACTCCCTTTTGCCTTCTCTCTTGTCTTCATTTTTTCTCTCTCTTCCTTTTTTTTAGATTTCTTTATTCTTCTTTCTTTGTCTCTTCTTTTTTCTCTCTTTCTCTCTCTTCTCTCTCTCTCTCTTTTCTCTCTCTCTCTTCTCTCTTCTTTTTCCTTTTCCTCTTTTTTACACGTGCCTCTCTTTCTGTCTTCATTTCTTTGTCTCTTCTTTTTTTCACTCTCTGTATTTCTCTCTCTCTCTCTCTCTCTTCTCTAATCTCTCTCTCTCTCTAGTGCCTCTCTTTTAACATCCCTTTTTCTCCGAAAATTAAACATTCTCTCCTCTCTTTTCTGTCTTCATTTCTTTGTCTCTTCCTTTTTTTTTTCCTCTCTGTATTCTCCTCTTTCTCTATCTCTCTCTTTTTTTCTCTCTCTCTCTCACTCTCTCTATTCCTTTTTCCTCTTCCTTACAACTTGAAAAAAAAAAAAAAATCTTTCTTTCTTCTTAATTTCTTTGTCTCTTCCTTTTTTTTCTGTTTTCTCTCTATTCTCCTCTCTCTTTATCTCTCTCTCTCTCTCTCTCTCTCTCTCTCTCTCTCTCTCTCTCTTCATTTCTTTGTCTCTTCTTTTTTTTTTAAGGAGGTTCTTTTCCTGTCGTCCTTTCTCTCATTCTCGGTTTTGTCTTTCTTTTTACGCTCTGATCTCTTTAAACTCTCTATCTCCCTCTCACATTCACCTCTGTTTATCTCTCTCTCTCTCTCTACCTTTCTGTTATTCGCTCTGTCTACCGTTCTCTATATTCATTCTCTCTCACTTTGTTCCTCACTTCTCATTCTTCTCAATCTGTCTGTCGATACACACCTCTCTCTTTCCTGTTCTTCCCTTCCTCCTCGCTCTCTCTCATCCTCTCTACTCTCTCTACTCCTCTCTCTCTCTCTCTCTCTCTCTCTATCTATCTATCTATCTATCTATATATCTCTATTTCCCTCGACAAGGTATTGAATTATTTTGAAGCTTTTTTTAGAAGGTCAAGGCGTTTAATATTTCAGCCGAATAAGACGCATCACTTGGGGATGATTTAAAAAAGAAAACATACTTCTTGTGTATGTTTCGAAAAACAAATCTTTTAACAAAAAATGCCGGGTAAATAAATAATAGCCGCACAGTACTTAAATGACGGGATTGATCGACTGATTTGTTTTTTACGGCTTATCAACCTTTTACGGGTTATTTAAAACCAGAAAGTATTTTAAATCATGAGAATTTCGGTGATACGATAATGATTGTTACTGATACAATTTCTACTAATTAACCCATAGCTGGGGAGAAAAGAGGTGAATTAATATTATTCCCAAGACTATAACAATTATAACGCACCCAATTGGGATTGAAACCCGGATCTTCGATTTCCAATTTCGAGTGTCGTCATCTAATTACCCAACCAGCATATTCAAGCTTACAACACCTGGTATTACCAAGCAGTCACCCTCTCGGTACTAAGCAGAATTGACGTTGCTTAACTACGAGAAGCGCATGATAACCGTGTTTCAACGTGATACGACCGTAAGCTCTCTGAGATTAATGAACAACTCTTAGCATCCCATCTGAAAGACGCTAAACATTTATATTAAAAGAAATTGTTAAATTCTAATGTACAGGATGGTCCGAAATTCTGTACGCGAATTGTGATATTAGCTGTTTCCTTATAAGGAAACATTCGGAATTCATTAACCGTATTGTCGGTTGAAATTTTTAAAATTTTTCTCTTAAAACAATTTTTCAGGAAAATAGGTTTCTCAAGTCCATTAGCTGTTATGGCTCTTTCAAGAATTAATCTTTTGAGACCAGCATTCCTAAACAATTTTAACCCTTCTTCTGCCTGAGCCCCTGAATTCTACCAAAAAGTAATTAGAACAATAGAAGAACAAGTAACACAAAGCATATGTAATGGAATCAGTTTGGGCACGTGTAATGGCTAGCAAGCTTGGCTCGCTAGAACAATTACGACTGAGTTGTGAGTTCGATCCTCACTGGGTACCCCCTAATTTCGGCCTTGTGCCACATCTAAGCTACGCTTGGAAAATCACTGTAATGGAATCAGTTTATTCACTTTCACTGAGGCTGTAACACATCGAGAAGGTCTGTACAGTCTTTTAAGAACGCCATTTTGGTGGCACTAAATGATGCGGCGTCATGTCCTGTATGATATTTTACGAAGCTGTGCTTTGATGATTGTTGCAAAGGCTCCCCGAATGCACCCTTCAACTGATGGGTATTCTGGTATTGTTTATGTGAAACTATCTCCCTGATAATACCCCACAGGGCGTTGAAATAGAAAATTATATTATGTAAGTGTGACAAGACTTTCGGGACACTGTATAAACAAGGTTTGTCCGGAAACTAATCAGCCATTTCAAATATCTCCCGAACTGGCTGTGTTTTTATTTGGAAACCAAACGGTTAGGACGTTACTACGCAAACGTGAAACACCTGTGACGTACTTTGGGTACTTGTATGGCCGTTGCAGTCACAATAACCAAGCAAGTGGATGATTCACATCTCGTTCAGGGTGGCAAAACGTCGCACTCACCAGATATCCTAGCACCAACCACCGTCTGGATTTGGCGCTCCGTAACATCTGCCTTTCTCCCCAAAGCTAAAATCGACGTGAAAACGACGGTAGACGAGATTAAGGAGAAACGTGACGAAGTAGTTGAATGGGATCACGAAAATGGGCTGCGCATCTTCTTCTACTATATGCCGTATCGCTTCAGGATGTGGGCAGTCATGGTTCATTATTTTTTGCAGCTATTATTAAGGTTTGTTTTTTATCAACATCCTTCTCTGTTCTGCCATGCACTTGCACAAGATTATTAGGCAAATTACACGCTACTTTCCCGCTGTCTCTCTTGCCTTCGATATGACCTGTGAGTGTCAAATTCTTCAAACCTTCTTTTCTTTTTATGCGTCCTAGAAAATTCAACTGTCTCTGATTCTAATACTGTCTAAGTGTCTCTTTTTATCATTTACCGTAAAATTTCCTCATTGCTCACAGGTCCCGTCGTTGGTATTATGAGCAAAATGCGAATTGTGATATTAGCTGTTTCCTTATAAGGAAACATTCGGAATTCATTAACCTGCGTTCCTAAACAATTTTAACCCTTCTTCTGCCTGAGTTCCTGAGTCAAAATTCGCAAATAATTGGTATGTAATGTTTCACGGTAGATATAAAAATTATTTATAAGTGTTTACCCACCGTTCAACCGGTGGGTGTTTAAGTCATTTTTCTCTACCACCGTTCAACCGGTGGGTGGGCATTGTTTTTTTTCTCTACCACCGTTCAACCGGTGGCTGGGCATTAAGTTTTTTTTCTCTACCACCGTTCAACCGGTGGCTGGGCATTAAGTCATTTTCTCTACCACCGTTCAACCGGTGGCTGGGCATTAATTCATTTTTCTCTACCACCGTTCAACCGGTGACTGGGCATTAAGTCATTTTTCTCTACCACCGTTCAACCGGTGGCTGGGCATTAAGTCATTATTCTCTACCACCGTTCAACCGGTGGCTGGGCATTAAGTCATTTTTCTCTTGTACCTTTCACCCGGTGGCTGGGCATTAATTCATTTTTCTCTACCACCGTTCAACCGGTGACTGGGCATTAAGTCATTTTTCTTTACCACCGTTCACCCGGTGGTCAGAGCGCAAAGGGTTAATGGGGAATTCCTTCCTTTCCGTTTGTTTGTGGAGGATGTAGAGCGTGATCATCTTGTTTATATCCTCATTTTCTCTTTGTGTTACATGTGTTATCCATTTTAATAGTGACTATTTTTGGAAGTGATATGATTTCTGGAAATTTGGTAGGGTTTTTGTTTGGTCTATATCTCTGAGATGAGGTATTATGATTACTTACATTATTTACATTATCGGACTGTTATCGTCTTCATTGGCATATTCACAACGTTTCGGTCGTTCTACGCTGCGGCCTTCTTCAGATGATTGGAATTTCAAACCGAACTCTTTATTTCGTCCACCGAAATTCCACGGGCCATGCCTCTTCCGGATGGCTCAGTTATTTCCCTTTAACTCAACACTCCAAGTTTGATTCACCACTGCTGTGGCCTGGTATTGAACTCACAACTCTGGGTCTAGCCACTGGATCCAACCAACGTGTTTATCCACTGGGCCATGTGCCCTCAAAAGTTGCGTTAAATGGAAATAACTGAGACATCCGAAAGAGGCATGAAGTCGAGATGCCAGGTCACTTTGTCATCGACATGATGTGGCTTCCATCTGTCTTTTCTACAAATGATGAGCATTTCTTCCCTGGTACCCCGACTACATAAATTTTACCATGCTACTAGATAGGCAACTTGGTCTCACCGTTTTATTGTTGAACTAGCTAGATGCAAACGCCACTTCTACTCTAAAAGATTCTTTTCTCGCACGTCCGACCTGTGGAACTCCCTTCCGATTTCTTGCTCCCCTGATAACTACAATCCTCAAAAATTTAAATGCAACATCCATCGTCATCATCTATCTTCCTAAACCCTGTTCCCTTTTTTATTCTTTCCTCAATTATCGACTAAGTCGTCTCATACTCACTCACTCTCTGTAGACCCCTCCCCCACATTCTAATGGCCTTTCTTCGAGTAAAAACGATTAGAAAAATATATGACAATTTAATGTGTTACAGTTTAATTCCTGGAATGTCCCGGTGGAAGCGGACACTGATTAATTGGTTACTCTTGGCTGCTGTCCATTTGTGAAGCTATGCACTTCGTGAGACAAAAGGTGCTCTTGCGGAAAACGTTATTGGGACTCGTTTTCCGTAATACCTGATTTGTCATGAAAAGTTCAATCAATTGAGCCCTTCGCAGCTAAGACCCGGCCACGCCATAGAAACTGGAACGAATCATTTCTATTACTTTGTATTCCATTAGTAAGGAGGAAGTTTCTTCCAGTCGAACAGCTTCTCCACAAGAACGGCTACTTTGTGGAACGGACTTCGAAGATGATGCATCTCCAAGCATTACAATCTTGGCCCCGTCAAGTCTAGGGTTAACTGTTATCTTTCCTACATAGCCTCAGAAACTGCACTTCTTAATTTCTCTTCTTATGCTCATACAACAATCTTATTCAGTAGTTCTAAACCTTGGGTGGGTCTTGAGCCTTGTATCGGGTGAACAATCAGTGAAAAAAGTGATGTAATATTGTGCTGAAGAATGTCAAGAATGTCAACAAATCTTTGATTTTTCAGGATATTTTTTTAAATTTTGGAGATTGACAAAAATCACAGGTACTTGAGACTGGGGAATAAATTGGACGGTCGATTTTTGCAATGGATTTCTTAGACAGGAACTCGCAATCTCCTAATATATTTCTTATTCAGGAACTCGCAAACTCCGAATATATTTCTTAGTCGGGAATTCGCAATCTCTTAATATATTTCTTAGACAGGAACTCGCAATCACCTAATATATTTCTTGGACAGGGACTCGCAATCTCCTAATATATTTCCTAGTCGGGAATTCGCAATCTCATAATATATTTCTTTGACAGGAACTCGCAATCTCCGAATATATTTCTTAGTCGGGAATTCGCAATCTCCTAATATATTTCTTGGACAGGGACTCGCAATCTCCTAATATATTTCTTAGTCGGGAATTCGCAATATCATAATATATTTCTTTGACAGGAACTCGCAATCTCCGAATATATTTCTTAGTCGGGAATTCGCAATCTCATAATATATTTCTTAGACAGGGACTCGCAATCTCCTAATATATTTCTTAGTCGGGAATTCGCAATCTCCTAATATATTTCTTAGACAGGAACTCGCAATCTCCTAATATATTTCTTTGACAGGAACTCGCAATCTCCGAATATATTTCTTAGTCGGGAATTCGCAATCTCCTAATATATTTCTTAGACAGGAACTCGCAATCTCCTAATATATTTCTTTGACAGGAACTCGCAATCTCTGAATATATTTCTT